CGTATGTTGCGATAGAGCGGAGTATCATGGAAATTCGTTTGAGGAAATGTTATTTGTGCAGTTGCAAGTAATTATGAGATGAAGTTTACTTGGGTGAGAGTTTTTTTTTAATGTCTTTCCAAGTTTCGTATATTTTACACGACAATACGAAACGATTCAGAGTGTAGGTGAAGACGCAGTATTTCAAGACATTCGCACTCTCACATCTATCCATACCTCATCGGTACCGGCATAGACATCTTGGATCCTGCTAAATTCCCAGACGATATTACAATTAATGTAATCTTAGCGCAATTAAAAAATTTCAGAAAGACTTGTCGTCTAATACTTAAATACGCGGTTGATTGTATAAAAGATTAATGTAGCTAATCTTAATGTGCTTTTATACGTCCAAGTTGTGAGTATGATAAACAATCGAATTTCTCTGTCCACGAAGCAAATTTGATGATGAGACTTTTCATTTGACTCTGGCATGATGTTTGTTTTTATTAATTAACATAAACAACTCGATTTTAAGAAATTGTTGTACAGCTTTAGCCATCCTCAACATAGAAAGTATCGTGAGAATGAGATACAGATGTGCCGGTTTTTTTTTCAGTAAAAGTTTTCCTGGTTATATGAAGACTCACTTCCTCAAACATACCATACTTTACTCTTTGCAACAATTCTATTTCATTGTTGAACTCTTCAAGATAAGGTTTTATTTACACTTACACGTACACATTAATTAATCTTCTGATTAGATGCATTTGCTATTTATTAATTTGAAAAAAGCAATCACAATGAAAGAGAAGAAACTTATTTTTAATTTTTTCACTTGATTCTATAAAATTATTAGTGTTGGTTCGTTAGATTCAAAGAGAAGATAATACTGCTGTGCTATATTCCTCGAAATATAATACGCATTATTGTTGTTCATTATTGATCACGATTTTCATAATTTTAAATGATGAATATGGTAAGATCAAAACTTCTTCTTCTTCTTGAAATTTCGAATATTCAGCAATGTAAAGAGCTGTTCGATCTTTATTATTGATTTTGTATATGCACAAGATAGATATATCATCGGTATGCAGTGATGTATCATCTTGTCCGCTGAAGAACTCAGCTATCTTACGATTTTTCGAAGTAGAAAGAAATGTTGTTGTAATGATGCAAGATCCTTCCGTATAATGAGAAAGTCTCCATTTTTTAATGACAAAACCGCGATATACATCGCCAACAAAGTTTAGATGTTCAAATTGAGGATGATACAGAAGAATAGTGACAATGGATTTGGTGCCGTCCTCAGTTGAATAAAGGCAGTCACAACAGAATCTACTGCAACTATTTGTCAGATTATGAATGATGATTCGAGCCAAATCATTGTTCAAAATTGTTGAGAAATTTCGACACATTGTGTATGCATACAATATATAAAATGGATTGTCTTCATCACCTGCTTTTTTGAAAGAATTTTGTATATATTCAAATGATGACAGATGCCTTAGCCGTGCACTTATATAACCTTTATTTATCGAATAAGTTTTATTTTTTAGTAGTCGTTTTATTGAACGTGGCTTTAATTCTTCACGAAGTTTGAGATATTTTTGCGAAGCATGATGATCAATGAGTTCCCATTGGTAAACCGATTGATCATTAATGAGAGAACAAGTTTTGCACTTGATATTGGATTCAATAGGCGATCTCAATATGAAAGTATTTCGAGAGAATGTATGCCGAATATTAGATTCTGGATGTTTGAGAAGTTGTCGAATTTCATCTCTTCGTGTCAAATCACATAGCAGTTTATCATCAAGATTTTTCACAAAATATGAGCCATCAAATTGTAATGGAAGCTTCTCATCCTGAACGGGATTATTCCAATCGTCTTCACAAAAAGTAGTATTGCGATTGAAAAACATCTGATAATTAATTTCTCCATTTTCTACTGACGATAGATATTCATGCTGTTGGCGTGAAGAATGATTTGCCGCAATCATTTGCTCGGCTGATTGATCCTGCTTGTTCATACTCATGCATACTTCCTAAATAGACGAAAATCAATTCGATTTATTTACATGTCAAATCGATGAAAACCAGAGATATGTTTGATTTTTCGGTAGGTTGTTTTTTTTCGTACGTCGAGAAATCAAGTTTATTTTTTAGCGTCAGATGTTTAGAAAAATGAAACAGTACAGAAAGAATATGTATAACATAGAATTAAAGTAAACACTTGTTAAAGATCATTTTAAACACTCAAGAAAATTACTCTCTCTTGCACACTAATGACCATAGGTGAATCAATCCTCGACCTATCAATGATGAGCTCCAAAATGCTTCTCTGTATATTCTGTTTACATAAACATATGCAACGAATGTTAACGTTGTATAAAAATGATAGATCGATTCGAAAATCATCAATTGAATGTCATTTTTTCTTGAATCGAGTAGCTCATAGTAAGGATTTGCGACGTAATAGACAAAATTTGGTAGGCCACAGACGATATAAAGTACTACTGGTACGAAAAAATCTTGATGATTTAAACAGATACGAAAATAATCAATAAAATTTGGTTTTCTGTTAATAAGAATACTTCGATGTCGCGCTAAGTGACGTAGAACTAAAGTACTTCCCACCACCAATATTATAATTGGTATAAGTTCCTTATAAAAGAAGAGTGACAAATAAATATTGCCTTGATGAGTAAGTGCACCATTGCAGGTGTTAATTGTTACGCCAATTTGACGACAAAATACATTTGGCAATAGATTCCATGTGACTTGAATTAGAAAAAGTAAACTTATTGAAATAACAGACCGTCGTCGCGAATCATAGAGACTGAAATCATAGCATTCGATGAATGCACGTTCTACGGCTATAAAACCATTCAACCAATTTAAAGCAGATATTAATGGAATCATTATAAAATCCCAAAGAATGCAAACTGCTATTTGAAATGATACTTCCGAAGTGTATAGGTCTCTCAGTGGCAATAGTAGATTGACCACTATGCATGTCATTGACAATGAAATTAAATAGATTCCACTATTAGTTACACGGATTTTCTTAGTGCACAAAAATGTCTGTAAACTTAGTGAATTACTGATCAATGATATAACAACAAAAATCCACATGATTACTTTGTAGACTTGATAAAAAGTTGACATTAGTTGTCAGAAATGAAGTTGAACACGCTAAAAGCAAAAAAAATTGAAGGAACCATCTTGAAGTTAATCAGTTTATATCATATATAAAATGATTTATAAGAAAAAAATATTAGTTTTCCTTGTTCTTCTTGTTTTTGTGTCTATCCTTAGATTTGTTCAAATATGAGGAAGATTATGCAGGGAAAAGGCCAGTAGCGTTAAAATTAAAACTCAACTTCAAGTATTCAGCTATTAACGTAACTTCAGTTCAAATTTAAGATAAATCAAACAGTATGAGTGTCTCCTATTATTTACACTTTATTGTATTATCAATTGCCTTAAACCTATTTAGCAGAAAGTAATGCATTCTTAGAGTTGTAATATATTTCTCTAAAGCTTACAATTCTTTTTCCGAAAATGATTTCCTAAGCACTATCTGAATATTTTTTTTTATTTCTACGAGGAGTTATTGAACTATTAGATGAACGTGTAGAAAATCATTCTGAAAATATAAAAATTGATGTCTCGATCATATGACTCAATAGTCGTCCTATGTATACATTTAGCGTCTTGCTTCTTTCATTTTACATCAGTTTCCGACGGATATCTTGGTCGCCTAACCTTGACTTGTCTTTGTGTCAAAAATTATTCTCATAGGATTAGTTCGTACTTCAGGCATGCACATATATTTAGATTTAGACAATTCGTCTTCTTAGACAACTCTTGTTTTAATTCAAAGGCTAGACAAGATTGGGTAGCATACCTAAAGAAAAGACGAGTCATCTAATTCGTCATTAACTATCTTGGATGGGAATCATTTTCGCAAAATTTTTCGAATTTCGAAAAGAAACCTCATCCAATATTTCAAGTCTTGGGTTTTCTTATGACTGGAATCAACACTTTTATAGCATCTGCTGATGTTATCACTGTCTTCATTGCTGTCGTTCGCATTCAAAAGCCTAAGTTTTACTCTGAAACAGAATTCACCGTAACTTATATTTTATGCAGACAAAGAAAGTGTATTGAAATTTCTATAAAACGGTATTATTTGTAATAGAGCACAATTTTCTTATGGGATATTTTGAAAAAAAATTTGTTTTGTGCTGTTTAGGTTCTTGTATGCAATATCAGCTATAAAAGTATCATATGAGCGCTTTCGTTGTAATAGACAACTATGTACATAGTGCTTTGAAGATATCATGTATTTTTTCAATTTTGTTTTTGTTTTCTCGTAATATGTCTGATTGAAATCCTCTATATGTTTTAAAACTAGAAATTTTGCTCTATGTTACAAAAAAAACAACGGCAACCAAATCGAAGATAAAACAACACAATAAATGAGAGGTATTTTACGAACTTACAATGAAAAAAAAATACGTTTTCAATCTTTCTCTCATTTGTTTTATCATTTCATGCATGAACTTCTTTGGCTCGTTCTCAATCATGGTCATATTACAGATAAAGCGCACAAAATAGAATCGTAAAAGTAATATTTCTTTCATCTCGCCCATATTTATTTGATTCTTCTTCAACAACAATCAAATCAAGGATCAACATAGTGTGTTATTGTTTTATTCGTTTGTGTTTAAGTGCCCCCCCTCAGAAATTTCATTTTTTGGTATAATAATCGAAGTCGAGTTTTTATCATAGGAAGATGCAGCGAAGTTTCCTCTTTCAGAATATATATAAATTTTTAAAAAAAGATCAAATTTTTACAGATTTTCGTAGGAGATTTCCACCTCACTACCCGGTTTTCGGAGAGATTTTCGCGGTTTTTTGTAATTTTTGGGAAGA